TTGTACTTATCATCTGAATTTGCCGAAACAAGTTTAATATTCTGAAAGCCAAGACTTTGTTTAATTGGAATCAGAGGAAAAAAAACTGTAACGGACCCTGCCGTGTTATCTATGATTACTATACTCTTACATTCATAATTTCAGCCGGGTGGGGGGGGGTTGGGGGTGGGGGGCGGCGCTGCGGAAGAGCAGATTGCGAGTGAGAAATAAATAAATTGGAAATAAAAGTTTCATATTCTGAAAGCCAAGACTTTGTTTGTTTAAAATCAAACAAAACACCCGAACCCCGAAAAAATAGTTTTTTTAACGTAAATCCACGTTTATTTTGAGAGATTCTGCTCTGACAACTAAGCTAAACTTTTACCTGTTAAGATTGTGCACGGCACAACAGAAAGTTACAGTAATTTTCAATGGACTTTTTTTCTGTGAAGAACCCAGAGAGGGTTATTTGGTTATTATTTATTTCATTAATAGTGTTATTATTTATTTCCTGACTTTTTTTCTGTGAAGATCCCGGAAAGGGTTATTAATATTTGGTTATGTGTGGCTTTCTAGAAAACAATAAATGTTTACGTTTAGACACCCATGCGATCGTCACACTTTTTCTGTTACAAAGTGACATCAGGCCCCCATCAGAGAAGGCCCCCATCAGAGAAGGGAAAAGTTATGTGGCCCTCATAGGAAAAAGTTTGGGGACCCCTGTTCTAAATGATGAATCTCACCTTTCCCTTACGGGGAAAACTCGCAAAATCTGGCTAACAGGCTTGACTGCAGCTAAAAAGATTATAGTCCAACGTTGGAAACCTCCTCACGATATTTCAAGTTCTCACTGGCTTCAGAGTTTTTTGAACATTTCTTACCTTGCACTGTCCTCTGCGAGAATCAACGATGCAAAACCTGATACAATTTTAATGTGGACAGATCTGATATCTAACTTAAAGGAGCTCCTAACCAAATAAGAATGCTATCCCTGAGGGGATATTTTTGCCCCGGTGGTTGGTGGTGGAGTGGGTGGGGGGTGGGCTGTGGAGTGGGTGGGGGGTGGGCTATGGAGTGGGTGGGTAGCTGGGTGGGATGTAGGATAGAGGGATGGGATTGAATTAATCCAAAATGTTGTGCAACCTGAATTGTCTTCTGTACTGTGTTGTAAATTGAAGATGTTGCAATAAAAAATGTATGATAAAAAAAAATTAATAGAATCAAACCCTTTTTTTGTTGCATTTTAGTAGAGTATAAAAATAAATGCCTTTAAAATAGGATGCAAGCAACACTAGTTTCTTAACCTGAATTGATGATAGACTATAATCAATTTAAGTTTGCATTCTTATACCATTTTGTACAATAATTATTTGAATAAGTTCAAACAAACTCAAACTTACAGCTGATTAATAACGGTATCCAACTTGAGTTTTTATTATATCAAAAACATGTTGAAATGCTTCTGTTATTTTTATTACGCATCTGCAGCCTCCAGGAATGCTTCTTTCACAACTTCGCCGTCTTTGAAAGACTTCATGTGTTTCGCAAGAACGTGACTGACACGATAAGATGCTATGGTAGCAGCCTTGCTCTTGTTGTTGGGCCTGGTGAAAATGGACTGCTGTGCATTTAGCTGTCCTTTCAGGCCCCTCCCCTTTTGGGAGCGTAGGGCAGAATTAGGAGGGAGTTCCGTCTCGTAGCGTTTGTGCACTGTTTTGAAATGCCGCTCCTAAATTACCCTTCTTCGATAAAGCTACGCTCGCATTGCAGATGAGACAGATGGACTTTGAATTGGAATAGATACAAAAATAATCATCCTTCCACTCGGAGTGAAAATGATATATGTTGGGCTTTTTTGCTTCTGCCATAATTGCTGTGTTGTGTGTGTGCGGACTGTCACTCCTGGACAACGTCAGCGAAATAGTGTCCACTGCCCACCTGCCACGCCCCCACACATGGGGTCACGCCGGCCAATCACAAAGCTTTGGTGCGTTCAAGTTCATTATTCTGGCACGGGAAGATTATGTTATCATTAACGATAAAACAGAATATTGTTGTTCTATTTTTAGACACATCTCGCGATCGACTGGGAATCTCCCCGCGATCGACCGGTCGATCGCGATCGACTGGTTGGGCACCCCTGCTTTAGACAGACTTAACAGCGCTAGCTAATGTTAGCTTATTACTAGCTACATCACAATTAAACCTACTAAACAAGTTCCAAATATTGCTTCATAATTAAGCAAACGTAATATTGTATAGTTCGAAATTATTGCATGACTAACGACAAGATGTGAAAGTATTATACTTCACTTCCACTGTTAGCGGGAGCGCCACTTCCAGACATGTTGATGGAGATGAACTCTGAACTTTCACACCCCCAGACTCCGCAAACCGCGTAGATGTTACACTACGTTGGAAACGCATTAGGCACACCCTCGTGGGGGCTCACGCATGTGATTGGCTTAAAATTAAGCAGACATCTGATTGGCCGAAGACACTCGCCTCTTAAAAAAAATGTGTGGTGTGAATCTAGCTGCGTCAGGGGAGTCTAAAAAATCCACACACAAATGCAGAGAGATCCACACACAAATGCAGAGAGATCCACACACAAATGCAGAGATCCACACACAAATGCAGAGATCCACACACAAATGCAGAGAGATTCACACACAGAAAGCGTTTTTTATATAAATGTAGCAACACTCAAATGTGTTTTTGATGTAACTATTTGTGTGTGGATGAGAAATATATTTGTAAAACTTTTTTACATTTATAAAATTATAAGTTTGTGTGTGTGCATTGAAAAATATGTGTGTGGACGGAGACATTTATATATAAATCCGGAATTACATTTGTGTATCCTTTTGTGTGCCTTTATTTATTTTTGAGACTGAACTGACCCCATAGTGCACAGCTAACAAAAAACAATTGTGAGAAACATATTATGCAGGAAATGCTTAGCTTTGTTGAAAACACAAAGCATAGCTGATTTGGGAGGAAAAGCTTCAACCCCCCTAACATCTGAGTTACCACTGAAGGCATAGCATGACTGATAGTGGGCGTCTGAAGGTGTCATTACTGAGAAATGTCAAACAAATTCAAAACCTTACATTTGAAAACAGGTTTGCATTCCTCCACTTAAGGTGACGTTATCATTGGAAACAATAAAAACAAACTGTTTTGATGTAGAATCTATACATTGAATCGTTAGAGCAGAGCAGAATGGTTGTATTGTAGCCTGAGTTCCGTGCAGCCTCTAGTTTCAACAGGTGGAAACATGGTCCATATAATGTGAATACATGTAGAAGTAGACAGTAAGAGGCCCCTGACATTAGGCCTATACTAAAAATAGTAGGGGCTTTTAACAGCTTGCCAACTTACAGGCATCCTCTGCATAGCAATATGAATAGCCTTAAAAACAACCCACTCCGTGGTAACGAGAGTCATGTGTCTGACCCAAATGCCCTAAGTGAAGCCATTAGTCTCATCTGACTGACCCAAGGGTTGGTGCTGGTGTGACAATGAGGCTTCCAAGTGTTCAAAGCAGATGTCAAGCTTCCAGTTCATGGCTCGGTGGGGGGGAGCAGACCCACGTGAGACAGTGTCAACGGCTGTAATGTTCAGTTTGAAGGGCGTCATTCTCTCTGGGAGCAGGGAATAGTGTCCATTCTCGGACCAGACCATTAATGTCATGTAGAGCAGCCATAGCATCTCTGTGACTGCACTCAGCCGGACTGTAGCAGGGTAGAACTGGGTGACTCTTAGTGAAGCCGTCCAAGGCCATAGACAAAATGGAACCACGTGCTAACAAAAAGGACTCAAGGTCATCAATGTCTCTCTTTACCATTGGCCTAATCATAAAACAAATTAATGTGAAATGTTGAGTTAACCGGAGTAATCTGCAGCCGCGAGCTGTTATGTGCCATCATGACACGCATGGTGTTCTTTTTTTAATTTATTTTTTATATATATTATAATGAATGCTCGAGTCTTCCTGCCTGTCGGCTCTGCTTTTGGATGTATAATAAGGCTCTGCTTTTCCGCTAAAATGGTCTAGCTTCCGCAGCTATATTACCTACGGGTGCGTTCGTTAATATTAACTGTGTGGTCCGGAGTCACTGTGGCACAGACTGGACCGCTGGTGAACAGCTGTTAGAACGGGGCGTTCAGGTGTTCAGAGCAGAGCTCCCTGTCGGAGCGGCAGAGCGTGATGTGCACTGAAACGTTTTTCTGTCGCAATATTATTTAAGGAATCGTTGAGCTCGCTAACTAGCATACATTGTCACTATCTGCTAACGTTAGCTTTAGTACTCAGATCTTGTACTTGAGTAAAAGAAGAAGTACCAGAGTGTAGGAATACTATGTTACAGTAAAAGTACTGCATTCAAAATGTTACTCAAGTAAAAGTATAAAAGTATTCTCATCAAAATATAGTGGAAATAGCGACAGTAAAAGTAGTCGTTGTGCAGATTGGTCCATTTCAGAATAATAGATATGATATGTTTTATAATGATTGATCATGAAAGTGTTCTCAAAGCTGGTAAAGGTGCAGCTAGTTTGAATGACTTTGTATACTGCAGGGTAGCTTGTGGATTTACTCCAGGTGGAACTAAAGTCTGATTTAACACTTGGTTAGATTTCACATCATTCATCCACATCTGTGAAGTAACTAAAGGGATTAAATACATGTAGTGGAGGAAAAGTACACCATGTACCTCTGAACTGTAGTGGAGTAGAAGAACAAAGTAGCAAAGCATTTAAATACTTAAATAAAGTACAAGTATCTCAAAATTGTGCCCAAGTATAGTACTTGTTGAGTTTATGAACTTAGTTACTTTACACCAGATGCCATAAAGATAGAAAGACTAAGCCTTGCACAGAGGCATGAAAACACATTTTCAAAATGCTCAACAGTGCTGCCAAAATTATAAACTGACTGCTACACATTAAAATAAATGCTTTTATATATTTATATTAGATGTGACTCTTTAGCGTTTCTGTTATTATTAACACTGCTGCTTTAGTTGTTTTGATTGCTAAAATCATCTGTTATTCCTCATTTTAAAGCTGATATTCCGTGGGGTCGGTGGGCTCGGATCCTTGTCACCTTTTTCATACCTGATGAGTTTGCATCCCTGACAAGACTAGGTACATTACATGAGTGTTAAAACACCCAAACATGCACACGTATCTTATTTTAGTAGAGATGAGAGGACAAGGTCTAATGTTGTGACCGAAATGATCAAGTCAAAGCTTCAGTATTTTATCTTATGTAGCACATTTAATTCAATAATTAATCTTGAATTACTAATAACTCTAAAGAAGGTAAAAGTGGATAAGGCAAATACTCATCCAAAGTGTGTGTGTGTGTGTGTGTGTGTGTGTGTGTGTGTGTGTGTGTGTGTGTGTGTGTGTGTGTGTGTGTGTGTGTGTGTGTGTGAGCAGCTTGTCTGCTCAAGGTTTAAAACCAGCGGTGCGAATGTTTATGAGAAACAATTCGTAGCTTAGACTGAACTCGAAGGAAACTAGACTAACAACATTTTTTAAGAAATCAAAATAGCTGGGTGAATACTCTCTTTATGGTATTTAAATTGGGCCAAGTAGAACCCCTTCATGGATTTGTGATACTGATCTCTGTCTGTTCGGATTTCGAAGTCTCATGATTTATTGTGTGGGCCTGTGAAGGAGAGGCCCAGGGAAAACAACATCTACTTCTGAAATGCTGAGGGTGCTGAGGCTAGCCCATAGCAAACTCGCTTGTACCTGAAGAGTCCCTCGTGAGTAATGAAAGCAGTCAGATCTCTGCTGTCCTCATGCAGTGGAAGCTGGTAGTATGCATTAGCCAGGTCGAGGGTTGAAAATATGGTAGCTCCTCTGAGTTCTGAGAAGAGCTCCTCCATGTGTGGAATGGGGTAGCAATCCATTATGACGGCCTTGTTAGGCTCCCTGAGGTCTGTACACATCCTTATTTTAGATGAGTTCTTTCGTTGAATCACAACGATCGGTGATACCCAGGGAGAGGCATCTATTCTTTCAATGATGTCAGCATGAAGAAGAAGCTTTAACTCTGCAGAAACAGCATCTCTGACTGAGAACGGAAGCCTTCTCAATTTCTGCTGCACAGGCTTCACATCATCTTTCACCTTGACTTTGTGTACAACGTTCCTAACTCAGCCCATAGGTACAGCTGTATTAACAGGTGCAGATGAAGTAGGTGTCGGTGTAGTAGGAGTTGCAGGTGGGGTTGTTATCTCTCTGACTGTCTGCTCTGACTTCAGTACCACTCTGTTTCCAGTGCCTCAAACAGGTCCAGGCCCAGCAGTATGGAACCTGACTTCACAATGAAAAGGGCAGCTGAGCTGAGGCAGTATTTCCATCATGGAATGCACGTAAATGCAGTTTCCCTAGTACTGGGATTCTCTGTCTTGAGTATGTGACTAGAGGAACCTTTGTAGGTTTCAGTGGAATGTGACTGAAGTAGGTCTCGTACACATGAGCAGGCAGCAGTGACACTGAAGAACCAGTATCTACTATCATCTCAAATGACTGGTTAGCAGGAGAAAGTTCCAAATCTACAGTGCACATTATTTTCTTCTCTTTTGGGGCAGTATTATTCAGCAATAAAACAGTCAGTTCTGGAATAACGACCTCCCTCACTTCACGTTTTTGTTCTGAACGACACACTTTGGCAAAATGCCCAGTTTTTCCACAGGATTTGCATATGTTGTTTGTAGCAGGGCATTGTGTGGAGTTGGCCATATGTTTATCTGAATCACATCTGTAACATCTTCGTGCTTGCTCAGACTTTCTCTCACCTTTCCTTTGTTTACTTGCAGCGGGAAGTTTTTGTTCCCATGTTGGCGCCCTGATCTCTCTCACAGGCACTTCACTGTTGGAGAACTCGGCCACGTTGCGCACCGCCGTTTCCACCTGATTTGCAATCTGAATGGCTTTATCCAGTGTCAGTTTGTCTTCTAGCAGCAAGCGTTCACGTATGCGTCCACTGTAGGCTTTTTCCACAATCTGATCACGCAGCATATCCTGTTCTGCATTTCCAAATTCACACAAAACCATCATTTCACGTAGCGCAGAGACGTACTGTGCAATTGTTTCATCATGTCTCTGGGCTCGTTGGCGGAACTTGTGTCTCTCCGCAATTACGTTTACCTTCGGCACGAAATGCGCCCGTAGTGCAGTCACGGCATGGTTGTATGTAGTTCCCGTTTCAGTCAATGTGTAGAAAATCCTCTGTGCTTCGGTTCCGACGCTGTGTAGCAGCGTAGCACGTATACGGGTATCCGGCCACTTGGCTCCTTCCACGTCGATCACTAGCAGGTAGTTTTCGAACATTTTTAGCCATGTTCCAAATGGCATAGTTGGTTCTCCCGGACACTGAAGAAAGGTGGGAGGTAAAGGAGTAGAAGCCACGGCCATTCTCGTCGCCAATTTGTTGTGTATTAGTAAAAATACATTAATGAAGCAAGGGACGGGTACTAAGCTCTTTACTGTTGTTCATGCTTCTCCTCCGCCACAGCATCAACTCCCGGGCATACACTTATTCTCTCCACATTGTAAGTTACTCTGGTTACACGGCGCCCCCTATTGGCAGGAGTATATCATAACACAACAACGTTCACATGTAAGAGGTTCATCTCTCATTCAGAACAATGGAAACCTGTGATCTCTACACACCTCGTTAGCTCACATATAAACACCTGTGTCATGGAACACGATGATGTCATCACTCCAACTGCCATGCTCAGAGCAGCAGACTTCAGATAGAGGTTAACGGTCCTGCTCTCAACAGCTCTACTCTATTATGGGGTGTCATCATCATATGCCGAAGAGAGAGAGAAGAGAGAGATAAGAGAGAGTGAAGAGAGAGAGAAGAGAGAGAGAAGAGAGAGATAAGAGAGAGTGAAGAGAGAGAGAAGAGAGAGAGAGAGAAGGAGAGAGATAAGAGAGAGTGAAGAGAGAGAGAAGAGAGAGAGAAGAGAGAGAGTAATGTAATAATACATGGTTTTCTCATAACTTCAGTGAAAATAATCCAAACAGCCCAAAACTTCACAGGTTTGGTAACGATGCAGCCATCAACGCATCTAAGCGTATTATGGGGTGTCATCAAATGCCGTTGCCATGGCGACAGACAACTCGCCATGAAACAGGATGTCGCTGTAAGTCCAATCGACACGGTCCAATCGTCCCCCAATCTTCACTTGTATATCACCGGTCCATGCCTCAAGAGCTCTACGCCAAATCTGAGATCTCACCATATGTCGTTTCAATGGAAACGCATCCCTCGCCATAAAAGACGATGTCGCTATAACTCCTATGAATATTTTCAAAACGTGCTCAAACTTCACATGTGTGGTAACAGTCCAGCCATGAAGACATTTACGGGACAGTTTTGAGATTTCTTCAAATGCCGTTGCCATGGCAACAAAATGCTCGCCATGAAACACAGTTTTCTCATAACTTCAGTGAAACTGCAACGTCACATGTTTGGTAACGATGCAGCCATCAACGCATCTAAGCGTATTATGGGATGTCATCAAATGCCGTTGGCATGGCGACAGATCATTCGCCATCAAGTTAGTTCAGAAGTTTGCAGTTCGAATATTCTGCTGCTTTTCCAAGCCTTTTTACTTTCTTCTCTCATCACACATTCAAGCCCCCAGTGTTCATGTATCATTTCAGTCTCAATTCTTCACTTTCTTCTTACACATTACATTTCAGCATAGCAGTTTAGCGTCAGATTTTCAGCATAAAGCATTCCCACTAGCAATTTCTTCAGGAATTGCATTCTCTGTGTGGTACACCCCAAAAATGGTACAATTATTTGTGTATTTACTTTTATTTATTTTTGCTAAACAGTGAATTTATTGTTTTGAAAAGCTCAACATTATCTGTATTTATTTTGGTGACATTCATATCATTTTATGGTTTATCTGTACTGTTTGAGAAACAGTAATAGTAAGTAGCACCAAGGTGGAACCTTTGGCAGGTGAGCGGTGACATCTGGGTTATCTTAGGGGGGACACTTCCGCCCCCTCCTCAGAAGCAATCCAGACGATCAATCGGATCCTGTGTCTAATTCTTGCTGCTGCACTTTTCTGTTTTCTATAGGTCAGTACATGATGAAAATGATCGATGTTAACTTGTGTGAATGAGATATAATGTTAGAGATGTTTAAGAGAGTGTGTCAGAAAGTTTTGAGCATGTTTGACATAGTAACGGTATTTTAAAAATACTAAACTGTCGGCAACTATAGATGCCATTTTCGCGGGCTTCAGCCGCACCGTGTAAAAAGGTGACCTGAGCGAAGGCTCGCAGGCAGGTTAGCTGTTTTGTTCACCTGAGTGAAGTCTTGCAGGCACATTGCCTTGTTTTTTGTTTATTAACACTGACAGTGTATTTATGTGAGCTCCATAATATGTTATATTTGGTAAAGATAGATATATTGATAGAAAGTATTATTTGATAGCGTTATGTGTTTATATTGTTTATTGTTGAATTTCTCCTTGAGATACAGTAATTGACTGTGACAGACGGATAACTTAAATGGAGAAATGTGATATGTTTGTAAAGTACAGCTATTTGAATGTAACTATGTGTACTTTGAATTTTGAATAAGAAGCAATCCAGACGATCAATCGGATCCTGTGTCACAAAATGACATCGTCCGCGAAAAGAGCTATGCGATGTTCTAGCTCTCCCAACCTGATACCTGAAATATTCTTGTGTGTCCTGACTGCTATGGCGAAGGGTTCTATGGTGAGTGTAAATAGGAGGGGTGACAAAGGGCACCCCTGTCTGACCCCCCTATTAATATTAAATGGTTGAGAAATAACATTGTTAGTCAGAATTTCAGCTGTGGGTTGAGTGTACAATAACCTTACCCAATTACAGAAAGCAGTCCCAAATCCAAAACGGTCTAGTATTGCAAATAGAAAAGGCCATTATATTCTATCAAACACCTTTTCGGCATCGACTGATAGCAGAGCAGTGTCTGGCGCAGCTTTCCTCTCGTGAAGTATATTTAACACTGTCCGTACGTTATGAAAGCCTCGTCTCCCTTTAACAAATCCATTTTGATCCATATCTATAATGACAGGGAGAACAGACTCCAATCTACGTGCTAATACTTTGCAGATAATTTTTATGTCCAAATTTAGAAGTGAGATTGGACGGAAAGATTGGCATTTATGGGCTGGTTTGTTTGGTTTTAAAATTAAAATGATCATGGCACATCTCAATGAGGGAGGGAGTGACCCGTTTGTATAGGATTCCTGAATTATTTCTATAATTGGAGTTAGAAGTTTCCTTTAGTTAGTTAATTTCTTATAAATATCGATTGGTAATCCATCAGGACCAGCTGCTTTGCAGGCATTCATGGCATCAATTGCTTCTATAATTTCCTCCGTTGACAAATCAGAATCCAGGTTGATTTTTTCTTCATTTGAGACACTTGGGAATTTTAAATTATCCAAAAATAAAGTTTGAGTGTCCGAATTAGGCGGATATTCTGAGGAGTATAACGTTTCATAGAATTGTCTAAAGGTTACATTTATTTCTCCAGGATCCACAGTCACATCTCCCTTAGAATTTTCGATTGCATTAATAGCTCTTTCTGATTGTAGCTGTTTAATTCTCCAGGCCAGAAGTCTACCTGGTTTTTCTCCCTGATCATAAAAATGATGTTCAAGCTTCAACAAGCTATTCTCAGCAGATATTTGATTGTATTCAGCCTTAAGAAGTAATAGTTCCTGATGTGGGTTTTCTGAGCTATCCATAAACTTGTCTTTCTCTAGCACTTTAATTTTATAATCCAGCTCTTCCAGTTTTTGACGGATGCGTTTCAATTTAGGAGACGTAACATTTATAATCTGTCCTCTCAAGAAGGCTTTAAAAGCTTCCCATCTGATACAAGCCGAGGTCTGACTTGTGTTCATTTAAAAAAACATATCTATTTGTTTCCCAATAAAGTCTATAAAAGCCGGGTCCTGTAGCCAGTTTATATGAAAACGCCATCTCGGAGGGCTATTAACCAGTTTAGAATCTACATATGTAAAAGATATCGGGGCATGATCAGATATCACTATGGCATCATAGTTGCAGTCTTTAATTTTATATCTTATGATATTGATATTAGAAAGTAATCTATCCATGAATAGGTTTTATGTTTGCTAGAGTGACAAGAATATTCTATATTGTTTGGGTTCAGTTCCCGCCAGATTTCTGATAAGCTCAAATCCTTCATAACATTTAATATAGATTTTCTAGCTCTAGTATGGGACGTGTCCGATCCAGTAGATTTGTCTATTTGTGGGTTCAGGGCCACATTAAAATCGCCTCCTACAATGAAATTACCTGGGAGCATTGATAAGGTCAAGAATAAATTATCAAAAAATGCGGGGTCGTCTTCGTTGGGGCCGTAAACATTCACTAAATTAAGTTTCTCGTACAGTAATATGCCCTGAAGTATAATGTACCTGCCCTTGGGATCAATTATTGAATGTACTACTTGAAATGGGATTGACTTGTGAATTAGGGTTAAAACTCCTCTGGCATGTGAACTATAGGAGGCTGAAAACACTTGACCGTGCCATCTTTTTTTGACTTTACACAAATCACACTGCATCATATGAGATTCCTGCAGGAAAAATCTGTGTGAGTGTTTTTGTTTCAATCTACTAAGTACCTGCTTCACTTTAGTTAATTTACCCAAGCCCCTGCAATTCCAAGATGTAACCTTAACCTTCATAGATTTAGACATACCTCAATCAAACATATATTGTGTTATATAGGTTGTTCAGTGACTGTAATAGTGAGTGTATAGACGATGCTGCCCTAACAAAATACGTGTAAAAAGACATATATTCCAACACATAAGTACACATAAATCCCCAACCCTCTAACATACATTTCCCCCTGAGATCTACAGAAAAATCTCCCCTCCCTCTTACCACCTCCGACATGCCCAACCTACCACCAGACCTGCACACTCAACCCAGTCTCACGGCATTTTGTGTTATAGTCACGACATTTAATCTATTGATTCGTGTTCACCAACACGATTTTCCCCTTTTTTTCGTGTCACACAGAACGATTTTGAAAGCAATGTATTTCTATTGGTAGTATGTTTCATGCCTGCAGCACGTCTTTTTGTCCGTTCGGGTCTTGGAAGACCGGAAGCTGTGGGGTTCATAAAAACATCTTCTTACTCAATATCAAGCCACGATTATTGCTTTTATTTTAAATCATATAATGTCTGACTTTTTTTGTCGTCTGGGAGGAAAATAAATGGCTCAGAGCCTTAGAATACTGAAATCTGTATTTTTAAATCTTCTTTTCCTTCTAATTTGTTATTATTTTCTAAATAACACACTGTTATTTACTCACCAATAACACACAATTATCCTTGTTTTTATTTATTTGTTTAATTTAATTCCATAATCTCTGGCTTTTTTGGCGTCCGTCAGGAACTGAATTTAAAAATTAAAATAACCGGAAACAGACGTA